TAAAATTTTATGTTCGCTGTGCAGGTAAAATTTTACCATCTTCACTGACTGCTGACATGTATTGAACTGCATTCTGTTGATCTTAGACGTCTAGGAACAAATCTCAAATGAAACAGATATGTCAAGAACACAGTCTTGTATTTTTCTACAGAGACAGGCAGGGATCAAGATGGAGATGCGATTGTGTAGGTAACATGACAAGAACGCTTGCCAAATGATGAGGCTTCGAACCATGAAATCATCCGTCCGTCTTGGTCACAGTTCCAATGCTGAGCGTCAGATTCTCAGTTTTTCGCAGAGTGTCCTTGTCCCACCAATCTCAAACCTGATTTGAATTTCACCACTACAATCCGTTACTGTATTTTAAAAGATTATGATTACGCTATTTCAAAAAATGATTGTTGATATTTCATGCTTAGATCCGTCCCAATCAATCATATGCAGCTTGCCCTGCCAGATTTTTGTGTTGTGAAAGCACAAATCATGAAAGTTTGGCTGCGCAATCACATTACAAAGGTTGTGGTGCTTCATGGTTCAAAAGCGGTATGTTGCATTTTCTGGTTTAAGGAGCTAGTGATTTGTTCTTAGCCTTGAGCCTTGAGCCGCACTGTCGTGACAATCGTGGCCTTTGCTCTACTTCCTGAACTTGCTTGTTCAGCATGAGCCAGAATTCCCGCCCCATGGTTCTTCTCCGGTTCTGTAATGTGGACACTGTGAATCTGATGTTTGGGGATAGGCTCACCGGTAACCACAATGTGCACCATCATTATCATTGCCCGGAGCACAGGTTTCCTGGTCCCAACGACCATTCTGATGGTGGTTCTGGTGCTGATGGTGGTGATCAGCCTCCACCCAGCAATGGTCCTTCTCCTCCTCCTTCTGGTTCTGGCCCGCCCAATGGTGATTCTGGAAAACCAGGGGGAGGCCAGGGAGGCGGAGGCGATGGAGGTGATGATTCTTTGCCTTTGAGAGGACAAATTCAAGACTCAGTGCCGACCATCGAGGATAGCACTGTTGGCAATGGTGACCGTGAATCTGGCGGAGGTGGAGGCGGAGGTGATTCTGGTGAAGCCGCCGAAGCCAATGGCAGTCGTGCTTCTGTTCATGCTGAAGCTGATTTGGGGAGTGCTGTGATTCCGCCAACTTCATCGGAGAACAAAAGGCCTTCGCCTTCAGATGGTTTTACTACGCCATCACCCAAGCGACGATGTGCCGATCTTGATCTTGCGTTGCAGATGCAGCTGGATGCTCGCATTACTGGAACGACTCGAAGCATTGGCATTGGTGATCATCATTCTTCTCATGGACCTGAGCCTGAGCACCTTGGGCTCAACTCAACCCAGAATGCTGCATCCTCATCCTCCAGCCGTCCATCATTGCGACGTTCGGCCCCATTGACGGCTGAGACATTTGAGCTTATGATGGCAAGCAGGCTGGCAGCTTCCCCTCCCAATTGGCGAGATGGCTGTGGCGCCTAGCTTGGACTTCATTGGGGCGTTCTGACTGAGAGGATTCTAGAGCCATATAGTGGGTATAGTTGATCACCGTAGAAAGAAGCTGTCCAATTTGTTTCATTCTCTCTTGCTGCTGGTCAAGGTGCGAATGCTGCTCAATGATGCAGTTGCAGATTTCATTTGTTTCCTGTTGATTTTGTGATGTTTCTTGCATCAGAATTCCTGTGCAGCACACACAGCGAGAGAAGATGTCCTGCTCAGCTTCTGTTTTCCACGATTAGCCTATGAGCCTGCTCTTGTCTGTCAGCGTTGGATCCTCGCATTGCTGTCGCAAGTGTTTCGAACTTTTGGGCTTTTGGACTGCTGTGTTTTTTGGGTAAGTAAGTAGTTATCTTTAGCCAGCCATGTGAGTATGAATCAGTATTTCATTGTTGTTCAGCTTTACTCTCAACTGTGTTTGTTATCTTTCAGTCTTCCAATCAATTGAGGTTCCAGCTTGCAGGCCACTGGAACAGTCACGGCTGTTGCTTTGTTATGTCTCTTTGTCTTTGTCCTTAAAAAATAGATAATCAAGCTCCGTCGTAGCCATTACTGTGGGCTTAGTAAGTGGCTGCTTTTGGCAGAGCTTCCTCAAAAGCGGAACTCTTTGCTGTAGTTAGATGTCTATGTTGCCTGAAGAAGCGAATTGCTCATCCTCAGTGAACGCAGAAATCATGCGTACCATACTGAATCTGGACTTCGGTTTCGGCTGAAAAAATACACCTGCAAGGGGTAATTTTTTAGGCGTGGCTGCGACTGACTGGCATGGCATGTCACGAGAATCTGTGACATCACTTGTTAAGCAGCTGCAGTTGGGTTATTCTGTGTTCTCGTGGCTGATGTGTTTTCGAATTGGTGTCAATTTCTAAAGAATCGTTCTCATTTTTCTGCAGCTTCGCTTGCATGTGTTTTTTTTTACTGCCTTTTGGCTTCTATCCAGTGGAACATTGTATCAGCTTAATTTCATCGTATAGGAGTCATGTTTTCCTATCTTTTTCGCCGAATCGAAATCTGAGGCTGGCCTTTGAGCTCAAGAGCAAGCTTGGTGGTGGGGGCCTCATATGAGCTTCACCAACATTGACTCATTGGCTTCATGTATTTAATTAGCATAGCAGCATAGTTGGTAAATTTCCACTTAGGTTGGTTTACCAAAAAAGGCCCCCACAAGTCCCCAAAAAAAAATATTTCCCCTGCATTTTATGAAAGATTTTGGGACTTGTGGGGGCCTTTTTGGGGGTGACCATTGTCAAACCGTAGAAACAATAGGTCCCCATAAAGGACCCTTGGGGACCTATTACTGTCATGCCAAAATATATAGACTTCAACTGGTGCCCAATATTAAGTTAAGCCACTGTGATAGACATTGATGAGTGGGGTCGTCAAACATTAGACATTGTTTTGGTTTATAAATATTTGTATGCTTTCTTCAGATTGGTGAATAAGGTCAGCAATTTCTGGGCGATTTGCTTCTGAAACAGTTGGTTCATCAAGACGTTGATAAGATGACTCATCAGCAATTTTGGAACTATTGCTGGTTTTGGCTTTTTAGGTGGTTTTGATCCATGCAGGGGTGAGTTGAGTCATCAAGCTAGGCCTGTGTCACGCAAAGTGATGAGTGAGCTCATCCAATCTAAGGTATGCATTCGCATTTTGTTAATGATTGCGCTCGTGAAGCAGCGAGTACTTGCCTCAGATTGGTGAGTTAGCTTTGCAAATTTATGGAATCGAACACTACTGACATTACTAGATATAGTTTTTGGTGAAAATTACAATCTTGAATCATCAGATGTGGTGGCATTCTTGGGCTTGGCAATCTTTCTAAGAGAATGTGGAAACAACTTCTACAGGTTGATGAATATACTCATGAAACTAGGCATATGTGTGTCATTTTGGTGAGGGGACTCATCAATGTTCAGGTTTGCTACTGGTCTCACGAAACAATGGGCAAGCAACTCAGCCTGGTGAGTCAGTTCTTCAATGGTGCAACTTTGACCAAAACATGAGCTGCTTGATGAGTCAGCTCAGGAAATATCTGAATACTAGCTTATTTGGTGAGTTGAATCATCAACTGTGTTGAATACCTTGAGTTTGGTGAGGTGTCTCATGGATTTGCGATATATTTGCTTCATGTTGGTGGGTTGATGAGTCTAGCCATGCTCTTTTATTGATGAATGAAATATTCAAAACCCAGGTACCAGGTCTTTGTCCCCTGGGTGCTTGCCTCAGTTTGGTGAGTCAGCTCATCAAGTGTTTGACCCTGCAAGGCCAAATCCATTGATTGGTGATAACCTAGTGAACTAATGGGAATGTCCTTAATTTTGATGAGTTCAATCACCAAAAGTGATAAAAGTCTTTGTTTTTGGTGAGTTGTCTCAGCACTTTGGGCAGAAATGCTTCTGTTTGGTGAGTTTGCTGATGAATCCAGGCTTCTGTGACACTGATTGGTGACTGAACTCACCAAACCTGAGGTTGTGTGTCCTAATTCCTGGAGTGCCAACCCACGATTCAGCCCATGAAACTGTGGGTGCTGTCCCCAGATTGATGAATGCGGTCACCAAAGTTGGTATATCCTTTGATGGTATCCCTACAAATTTGGTGAGTCAGCTCATGGATTTGCTGGCCTATCTTAAATTTGATGAGAGGGTTCATCAAAAAGCAATGTGCTTCTTGAATCTGGTGAGGTGACTCATGAAAATTCGGGTTGTTTGCAGGTAGCATCATCATGCAGCAGGTTGATGACAGTACCCACCAATTGAAGCACTAGCTGCTTCTGATTGATGACTTATCTCACCAATCCTGAGGTTTTTCTGCTCAGATTCATCACTTGGATCAGCGGACTTGTGAGTTGTAGCCTCAGATTGGTGGTTTCACTCATCAATTTCACATGTTGTATATATTTTGCTGAAAGAATTCATCATATGTTGAGTCGGTTGTGATTCGATGAGTCATCTCATGAAATGTTGTATCATATGCAGGATTGATGAGGCTACTCATCAAGGTTCATTGAAATTCATTGATTTTGATGAGCTGGCTCACCAATCTAGGCTCTGAGCCACAAGCTTGATGACCCAAGTCACCAAATCCAAGGTTAGGCATGAAATTGATGAGTTAGATCATCAAATCTAGCAATTTTGATGGCGAGGCTGCTGAGCTTATTGGTGGCTTGAATCTCAGCTGTGTCACAAAAAAATGTGGAAAACGTGAAACAAAACCAAAAATAACCGACAGAAATGATCCTGAAATCAAAGACTGTTGCCATGTTTACGTTTTTTTCTCACAATTTTGACAGGAAAAAATATGTTTGTTGATACATTGACTAGTAAACCCAGCTGTCATTACCATTATTTCTGCAATTGTTGTCATTGCAGATTTCTGATTGATACATACGTTGCTTCCGGCTGCAGCCATTTTTGAGTTAGTATCAAACAAGGACACACAGCGTAAATCGTTGAGCAGGCCTGCCGCCAAGTTCATTGGTTTTGAAGCATGCGGAGTTCCCATCTTAAAATGGCATCAGATGATCCAAAGAAAGGCATGTTGGTTGGCCTTTCACCGGAGGATGTCGCGAAGCATGGAATCAACATTTTTGCTTCTGAGCTTACACCAGAAGACCTTTGGGGGCCAACTCCTCCGTCAGGGGGAGCCTTCTTGGATTTGGTTTTGGAGTTCTATGGGGTTGGTTCCCATGATGTTCCTTTCTTCTTCAATGGACCCAATGGTGAGAAATTGAGAAGCATTGAGAGATCTCCTCTCAGTCGCGAGTTGCAAGAAGCGACAGTCCAGGAGTATAAGGAACGAATCTTTCGCGAAAGCATTTCACAAGTCGCGGCAGGCCAGACGCTGGCTGATTGGGTGTCAAGTGGATGTTAGCTTGACAGCTGGCTTTGGCTTTCACACAGTCATAAAAATTTCTCGACAAGTGCCATCGAAACTTAGGTTTGACTCACCATGAAATTCTACTAATGTGTTTGTTGTTGTCCAAGAACAGACACTTTTGTTCAGTGTGCCTGCCGTCATTATTGTTTTGCATCGGTGTTGGTTTCTCATTCTATTGCTCATTGATGCTCGTTGTGAGTCCTGAAATCATTTTAAGTATTGTATATGGTTTGAGATGAACAGTAAGAAACTGAGAAACACTGAAACCTGCGAATCAAGTTTCAAAATCGCAACATTAACTGTTTTCTTTTTAGTTCTGATCATCAGTGGTTTGGCAACAATCATAGAGCTTCGCATCTGTAGCCCAAAAGTCAAAACTTGAACGTGAACCATATGTAACATGACAGTGGCAAACTGTGGCCAATCTGCCTTTCCAGGTGAACCAATTTTTCGTTGGAAGACAAGCCAAAAGAGCTGGCCGTGTGAAGCGGGCAGCTGGAATCATAGAGCAGAGGCAGTGTACAGAGCAGAGAGTGAGCAGCCGCATTCCAGTAACGTTCAACCAGTCATTAGGAGAGGGCTCGTCCAGGTGAAATTTGTTCACCATCAAATACCAGTGCGTATTTGGCAAAGGTTCATAAATGTGCACAACACCTTTCACAAGGGCTCAGGTGAAAATTTCCAAGACTACTTGGAAGACGCTCTAGTTCAAGAATCAGAGTGGGAACTTGAAGCCTCAAAGCTTTGCATGCACTCGCAGAACCCCAGCTACAAGTCTGCATACCGTGATTTCGTGCTGGAGCGAAGAGACTTGTTTCAATTTGGGCAGCCAAGTTTCAAGTAGAGTGATAGCGTTAGATAATATCTTGAGGGATTCAGGAATATTATTCATGACTGAGACAGAATGTCCATGTTTTATTTACTCAAGCCAAGATGATTCAAGACTCGCAGAAAAGAGTTCAAGTCACTTTTGCACACCTCATCAATGTTCATGCGGCCAAACAAACCACAAAAAGCTTTGCAATTGCATGCAGGAGGGATTCGGAGGGATTGTATTTTCTTCATGCACTCACTGGCTTACTGACTTGTGACTTAACATGGCTCACTTCATTGTGACAATTGATTTTCAAGAGTGTTCCCTGTTTTTCTGGTTTGAACTGTTTGAAGTTTGAAGTCTTGAGGAGACGCTATGTAGATTTGAACCAGCTCTAGAATCTCTAGAATCTAGATTGACAAGGAATGTGGAAACGAAACATGACTGACTCTTCGTTGACTCGCTGGCTGCCTTTCTTTGCATGCAAAAGGGCCATTATTGATTCAAAACAGAGAAATAAGATATGGTAACAATTTTCCTATTAGTTTGGCACCCCAAAATCTGACCCCCACAACCAACTAAACATGTAGCAAACCTGTAGGAAAAAGGTTACTGAGGGTAGAGTTGTGGGGGTCAGATTTTGGGGTGCCAAACCAGCAGGAAAATTAGAAAGATATGGAACTAGAAACATAACTATTGAGATTGTATGCTCTTTTTCCATTTTGCCATGGGCCATAGTCAACACTTCAGCAGATTCACTGCGATGCCAAGGTATGTACTTTCGTGACTGGGACAACTACCGGAAGGCACTGTCGGTTGTTCACACCTTGCAGCGTTTCAAGATCTACTCTGACATGAAGACGTTTTGGAACCGACATGTCGATTTCATTGGAACAGAGATGGAGCCAAGCGCAGTGATTGCTGCCATGCACAGCCTGACACTTTTGATCACTGGAAACATGCAGAAGTTCTATTGCCCAGAAGAGATTGGCGTCGTTCTCTTGCATGCCCTTCGTCATTGCGTGCCGAGCCAAGATTAGGGCCATTGGTTCATGGATCGTTTGATGGTAAAATCAAAACGGTTTTGAAAAATGATTAGGTTCAAACCTCAGACGATTGTAGAAAAATGATTGGGTGTCTCTGGCTCTGGCTGAAATGCTGAGTTTCATGTGATTGCTGGCTTTCAAAAGTTATGCGCTTCAGTTGGGGTATGTTGTGAAACTGGACGCTCGCTGAACTAGACCGAAACATATGTTTGGTTTCAGGTTTCTTTGGATCTATTATTATGTGGAGTGTTGACGTGGCACATGTGTCCAAAACCATGCTACAACTCCTGTTTATGGATTGAGGTGCCAAAGGCTGAAGTCACATCAGCAGGAGAGAGGCTTCCAGCATGGAGCTTCAAGCACTTTGAGCATGATGCCGGTCGCATGAACCTTCTGAATTTTCCGATGGCTGAGAGTTCTGTGGCAAAGAAGCTGGCCAACCGGGAGGGCTCTGGTGCCACCAGTTCAGGCATTAAGCAAGAAGTTGGGTCAGCGCCAGCGACCCCAGCAGAGCCCATGTCAGCTTCAAAGACTTCTGGGAAGAGGGGTATCCATTGGACCTCTGAAATGACCGAGCTCTGGACAGATGCTGGCTTGTGCTCCGCCAAGAAACAGCGGACAGAAACAGAGACTGATGAGAAGATGGCAGGTGAGAATGTAATTGATGAGCCTGAGGCTCCTGAGGGACCCTCACGAGGAGCATCTGCAAGTTTCTTGTTTGCAGACTGGACCAAACCAAACCAGATTTTCTCGTTCAGACCTTCTTGAAGTCACTTGAAACCACTTGAAGTCTTGTCTCGTACGATTGATCTTGACCAGCAGGGGTTATATAGCCTGGGATCTAAGTCTTTTCGATAATATACTTTTCATTGATCAATATACCATTGGTTTTGTGAGTTTTGTGATTCATTACAGCAATAGCTGCAAAGCATCTGAAACTTGTGACCTGTGAGCCTGCGACCACCTTTGATCAAACCAGGACCATGACTGATAGCCAGTGCCGTGCAATTCATTTCCTCTCCAGACATCATAATCATGATCATGTGTTCTAATATTCTAGTTATGTTGTGCGCGGCATGTTCCAGATAGTCGGAGCAATGGTAGACTGTTGTAACTTGTAACTCCACCTATGTGCATTTCCATGCTTCATCTTTTTTCACTCGAGGCTTGGGTGGCCCGGGCTCGCGTGTCAATGCCACCAGTGCAAGCGAAGTGAAGATCAAGAAATCAGACAAGAAGTCATCATTCACACCTTTCAGTGATGATGAGAAGAAGTGTTTTCGCACAGTGGCTACATCTTTGAGTTCAAGCACAGCTGTTGATGACCATTTGACACGACCAATTACTGCCATTGATGATTTCATGCAAGCTATGAAATATGCCGAAGACCTTGTTGTGGATTCTTGGACGCACGGGAATTCACAACCAACCAACATGTGTTTATATATATATTAAAAAAAATATTTATATACATCGTGATGATGATGATGATGATGATGATGGTTATTATTATTATTATCATTATTATTTTTGCTATTATTTGACACTGGCTATTTCATCGCTTAAATGTATATATAGGGGTTGTTAGGGTTGTTGTATTCATCTAGAATTGAGTCCGACGGGTGATGATGAGGGGTATCAAAACTAAGGCCATGCATGGTGATGGCGTACCACGTGAAAGTTTGGAAAGCACCTTCAGTTTCTGTGCTTCTTGGTGAGGTTTTGGTGATTGTGATTGCGTCAGTCATTACTTGGCAGGGATTTGTAAGCATGGTTAATCAGCTATATAACATAATATTTGAGGAAAGGCAATGGGAAAATGGCTCACCACACAATATTAGCTATCAGGTACACAAACACACACCAAAACACACTGACTGACAACTCAAAGGCTATGTGACTGGCACTGGCATTGAACTTTTAAGCGAACTGGCGAACTGGAAGTTGAAGTTGTGGTTCCTGAGTTGTTGAGTCTTGAGTTGTTGACTTGCTTTGCCTTGCCTTGCATACTTAAGGCTGGGTTGTTCCTACAGTTCCTCTTTGAGGGGCGTGTCTGCCTTCGGGGCAAAGATCTTCGTTTGTGGTCAGCGGCCCGTCCAGAGATTCAGGCGACCTATGTTGCAGCAATGGACTTTGTGAGGGCTCCCGCTTTGGCTGGTACAGGGCCAGGTTCTGGTAGCAAAGATGGTGGTCAGGCAGAGAGAAAGCTATCCGCTTTGGAGTTGGCAAAGGTGCTCTGCAAATCATTTGTTCCCCCGCCTGTGCACCAGTTGGTCATGGGCGATGATGAAGCTGGGGCTTTGAAACGCGTGGCAACTGTGATGTCGACAGAGTATTCAACCACTGCTTTGCCTTTGAAGTCTTTTCTGACTAGCGCAATGAAGATGCCAGTGATGATGCATGACTCAATCGTCCAGTGTGTCAAAAGGTTTCCTGGCTCAATGAGCATTTGAGACTATTGTTGTTGCCAGGAAGGTAAAGTGGTTGCGGTTAGACTCACTGGTCTGCAAGCTGCAGTTGGTAATGATGTAATGATGTAATGACTTTTGATGGCCAAGATCAGTCAACCACAAAGTAAAACAAAATATATTTTCTCACAATTTGCATCTCTGAATCTCTGCAGCTTTTTGGTTTCAAAACTCATCGACTCATCGAACCCAGCTGTGCCTGAGGTTCCTGAACAGCGACTGCAAGCGAATGGAAATTGTGGACATGATTTGCAAAATCCAATCTGACCTAGAACAAGGCTTGCCGTTCAAATGGGTATCTCTGGCAGTTGACGTTGCAGAATTGTTTGCAGGGCAGAGTTCGTTCGCTGAGGGCACACAAGAGGCCTGGGTGTTGAAACAATGGTTTTCTGATTTTGCTTTTTACTTTAGAACAGAATTTGCTTGATGCTGGATACGGGCATGTCTCAAAATGGGAGGTGCCCGAAACATTCAAATTTAGGCTTATTTTTCAAGGTTTCGGGCAACCTTTGTTTTGATACATCCTCCTGCCATATCCAGTATACACCGACTCAACAGTAACATAGCAGAACATGGATTAGGCAAAAGGCGAGGCAAGTTTGGGTAACAACAAGCTAGTTAGACAGAGACAACCTAACAGCAATCTAAAATTTAAAGTTATTTGCGCTAAGATCACCGAATTGGGTCAAGACGAAAGGTATTTGGAAGTGCTGAGATCCTGGAAAAGTTCATGTCGCTCCGTATGCAGTACTTGCTGCACATTGTGAGCTCTGCCGTGACTTCCGCGTGTGAGTTTGTGTTGACAGACGCTACCAAGGAGCAACTGGACTTCTTCTCGCTTCTACCTCAAAAGTTGAAGGGGCACAAGGATTTCCTGACTTCATTTGACAATATTCTGTCATCCCGGGATTGGGGTGTCAAATGGGCAGAGGTTCTACAGCAGTCAGCTTCTGAAACGGACGTCGTGAAACATGTCAAGCGATTGACGCCTGCTATGCAAGTGCAAGGGGGGCAAGGAGAGGTTTCAGGGAAAGGGGCAGGTGCAAATGATGAAAGGGCAAGCCTGCTAGAGAGCTTGAGGGCAAGTTCCAAAGTTGCCGAAGGACAAAAACCATGCGCAAAGGCAAAGACATTGAAACCTGATGAAGAAGCTGGCAACCAGAAAGGCTGGACTGGGGTTGTGTTGAGCTGTGTTGTACTTGCAGTTTGCGAGTGAACACTTTGAATTTGGCGGTTGCAATCTTTACCCTTAGATATATATATATGAGAAATTTCTCAACGTGGTTTGCAGGTTACATTTGACATTTGCAATGATTTTGATCGCTGAGTCTTGCTGCTGTCTGATTGATGACAATGTTGAAGACAATGAAGCAATGCAATGATGACTCGTTAATGTCGGTTTTGTAATGTACATGATTAGATTAGATGATAGTGCTGATGATGAGAATGATGATGCTGTCGATTATGGTTAAATTCTGCAATGATTAACGACTCTAATGACACTTATGACGGTGGTGGTGGTGGTCGTGTTGGTGGTGGTGGTGGTGGTGGTGGTGCTGCTGCTGCTGCTGCTGCTGCCTATGCAAGCAGAGCAGGACAACGACGACGATGTTGACGATGATGGTGATGATGATGGTGATGATGATGATGACGATGATGATGGTCATGGAACATGCTTATGTTTGAACGTTCGATCCTAATCCCAACCATAACTTGAGCTGGTGGGACCTTTCAGTTCTGATCTTGTTGTTGGTTTTTGAATCTCTGAGCAATCCAAGTTTGCGAGTCAGTCACCTTTGCTACCTCGGCTGCCTCGAATCTTTTTCTCTTCTCATCTGTCCCATCTGTCATCTGTTATTTGAGTCGTTTGACTCATTGGCTTCATTTGATTTATTTAAGTTTCAGAAATCAAGTTGTCCTTATCTTCATTCCTGCACTCACTGCTTGGCCGGGCAGGTGCTGCCGTTGCCGCTCCAGCAGAAGTAGAAGTTCGTGGTGAAGCTGGTGATGGCGAGGACAAGAAGAAGGAGAAGGAGTCGGAGAAGGATCAATCAATGGTCACACTGAGTTCCTTCAACGACTTCATGTCTGAGGACCACCAGAAACGTGCTGAAGACGAGTTGAAGTCCTTTGGCCTGAAAAAAGCTGGTGCGCTCTTCTTCAAGAAGTTGGAAACGTCTTTGAACTTGTGCTTGCTTGACATCCTGCCTGAGTTGACCCGGGGTGAATCCAGTGTCAAGATCAATGTCAAGGCAATGAACAGCAAATCAGCTAAGCAGGATGGCTTGCAGGTATCCCTTCCTGCTCCAGGTGACATGTGCCTTCCTCAGATCAACTACTTGACAACGACACATTCAAAAGGAGCCACGTTGTGCACAAAAGCCTTTGGAGTTTCTCAGCTGGATTGGAGTGGAGCATAGAAGTCTTTGACTGCCTCTAGAACCTTCTGAAGCTCTTTGAAGCCTTTGAGATTCAAAACTCTAAATTCAAGACAACAAAAGACACTTACTCACATTTTTCAAAAGCATGTTTCGAGTCAATCGGGGCAATCATACAATGGTTGTGGGGCCATGATTTGTGAAGATTGGTGACTGGCACTGGCATTCTCATTTGTGCGGTCACTACGTTGCTACACTTACATGTGGGACATTTGAGTCACTGTGACACTGACTGCCTGCACGTTTTAAATTCAGATGTTTTCACCAGAGAAACTAATTTTACTTAACATACTGTATGGGCTTACAACAGCCAGCAGCCAAAGGCTAGCAGCACTGTATTTTATTTTGCGCAATGTCCATGAATTGAATAATGTGCGATGGTGCAATCTAATGACTCTGATGACTCAATTCAAGCAATCATGTTTGCAAGTCAGCTGCTTGTCCCAGGTTGACTTTTGGATGGAGCCACTGAAAGACCATTTGAATGCCACCATGTGCATCCCTGGGTGGGCAGCACGTCCAGTGTCCAGGGCAGATCAAGCATTCTTCGAGCTGAAATCCATTGACTGCACTGTGCTTCTCCACAAGACTGGGGAATCAGACTTGGATTTCAGTGCCACTTACTTGAATGTTCCGCAAGATTCGCATCCTTTGGTGGCAAAGGTCCTGTCCAATGGCACACCTCACCTTGTTGTCAAATTGACTGTGCAATGCATGTGTCCCCTGGACAACATCGATGCGAAACTGGATGAGGATTTGAAGTCACAGAGAAAGATTGCTGAGAAACAGGTTCGCCAAATGGTAACCAGTGTGCAGAAAGCCAAGGCAAAGGCAGGAAAGAAAAAAAAAAAACACAAGCGCCGCAAGCACCAAGGAGGAGGGGACAGGGGAAGATGAAGAAGTTGTAGGGAAACAAGAGAAGCAACTGTTCGAAACATTGGGCATGGACATTCCCGGGTCCAAGGCAGAATCTATCGAGGTTCTTCAGACACTGCTTAAGCAAGAGGAAAAGATTGAGGAGTTGGTTACAAAGGCCAAAGAGTCAGTCCAGAAGCCACAGTTTGTGTCGCTGACCCGGCTGCAAGGTGATGATGACAAAATGAAATCGAATCGCACGAAGCTGATGCAGCAAGCACTCCAAGAAGCGCAAAAAAACATCAACAAGCCTGCTGCTGAAGAGCACACAATTCAGTTTGGATTCCAAGCCGCTTGTTCTGAAGCTGAACGCCAGGGAACAGTCCCAAAGGCCAAGGCAGGGTTTTGGGGGCATTAGCATCAATACCATTTCCGTTCAGTCAAATTACTGTTGAAGTTGGCTCTTGTTTCAGCTGAGTCAATCATCTAGCACATGGGTCACATGTGTCATCCGCAACTACAGCATTCATGACCCAAGGCATCTCAAGACTACTCTGCGACTCTGTGTATGCTCAGTGTTTGTCTCCGTTCTCTCCTCGCTCCTTCTCAGACAGACTCTTACCTCTTACTTACGGGTGTTTCATTGATTCCTTGCTGGTTTTCACCAGCCAAGATTCAGTAGTTTCCATTCACCAAAATGGCGCGCTGTGCTGACTATGACTAGAGTAGCAAACCTTGTTGCGTCGTCAAATCTGTTGCCAGGAGAAAGCAAAGAAGACCAAGAACGCGTTGGTGAAAGATGTGCTTCAGATGGCCAAGCACATGTTGAGGTAGGCCCTGCCTGTCTCTTGAATTGATCGTAGGGTAGGAGAGGCAGACCATGCCATGTGGGATTTGTCATGTGTCGCAGCCCTGCGATTGAAGTGCCGATATGGTATCGAAAGCAGAGCCGTAGCCAGTCTCAACCAATGAATGGCTGATGGAGAAACTTGTTGAGAATCGACCTGCTAGCGTCCTAAGAACATAGCATAGGCATAGCTGCTGAGATCCTTTGTTTGTCTCGGATTCTTGAATGTCAGTCCGAGGTCCGAGGTTGTTTAGCAAGACTCTCACAACACAAATTGTTTTGTCCTCTGCGTGTCAGTGTGTGTCATGCGTCTTGCCTCCGCAGTCTTGACACTTGTCAGGGCTGTATAGCTGATACTGCTGCAGGCTACCGTGTACTGTACAGATCAGATCGCAAGATTTGGGTGGCTCCTGCTGTTTCAGTTTCAGCCAATCTTGAACCATATGCCGAGTTGCCAACAAGGCAATTCCCATGTCCAGGCCATTTCCACTTGGATGTAAGACTAACACAGTTGAACGCTGAACTGACTCTCGCACTTCAGTAGTTGAACTGATAGCTTTAGCTCACATCAGTTTATTTTCTGATGATTTCAATTTCATTATTCCATGATACATGTTGCTATTTCCATGTCTATGAGTCTATAGGTCTATGTGCCTACGTGACAGTTCCAATGCTAGGACAGGATTCTGTCTGCGAGTCTGCGACTGGGGCTGTTGATCAGTTGATCCATTTCCGAGTCCGAGTGGTTGCATGGCACCGTCTATGGTCAAAACCATTTGACCTTGATGTCATGAATGACAATTCCCAGACCCAAAAGGCAAGGGAATTAATAAACATAGAGCGACGACGACAGCGACGAGATAAACACAGAAGTTAGTTTGTGCATTTGTGCAGTTTGACAGCTTGACTTTTAGACTATCAGTCTATCAGTATCCCTGTTGCTTGCAGCTTACTCCTTCCTGCATGTTTTTATCTGTTCTGACTGTCTCTTGTAATTTTCTCTTGAGGACTCGAGGACATGAGGACTGATTCACTGACTTACTCGTTCAATTCCGGTTTTGCAGACACAGGCTAAGACTCGCATATCCATTCCCTGTGATCTTATCAGAATAGAATCGCTGGACTTTGCAGCATATACTGCAGATATGATATGATAATAGGGAAGTTTACACTCTGACCGCAGTCTCACTTTCTTTTGCTTGAATCGAAGCGAGGTCGGCAGATCCAAGTTCTCCTACTGTCCTTGGCTTGCTTTGCTGGGGCTCAGGCGTGGTTGGTTTAAGAGGTTTGGGTTTGGATTTCAAGTGAGGACTAAGGAGGACTGAAGTTGAAACATGACTGGACTGGACAGATAAGTACATAAATCAAATCAAGGCAGTTAGAGAGGTTGACATTAAAGATTTGGCGACTTTGCCAGCTGTACAGTGGTTTCACTGACTTCACATGTTCATGTCCACGAAGACTCTCAGTGACTTTCTCGAGTTCCTATGGATCAGCCGATCCGCCGATCAGCCACTTTATGTTTGAGAATGCTACTTTCTGACAACTAGTTGTAGTTGCAATGTGTGATGGCCAGCCACACTCACGGTTCATGACTGTGACTCTGACTGTCACTTTGATTCAAGTATCAAGTACCAAGTCTCACACGTCAAGGTGTTTAGTTTAACCAGCAAAAGCTTTCCAAAAGCACCTGACTCTGATAGCGTTTCCAGAAGCTTCCAAAGGTTTTTCACTGACAGCAGCTGACAGCATGCAGTCGCTGTCATGACGCACACAGAACACGGAAAGTTCAAGCTGCAATCAGGCAATCAGCAATCAGGTTTGGTTTTTGTTTCTAAATGATGCTACAGAATTATGTCAACATGTCTTATGCAAGATTAAAGATGCGAGACAACCACTTGTACTTACTTGTACTTGCACAGTTTGTAGCTGTTCATTCCGACAATTGAGCCATTGAGCCATTTTGGCAACGTTGGTTCCTGTGCGGTGGCAAGCCGGCAAGCCGGATTCAAGGCGATGGTTGCTTCAAGCCCTAAATCTAGGGAAGCCAGTGGTGGCAGCAGTGGGAAACCTACAGCTGCCAAATCCATGCCAGTCCCACCAAAGCCAAAGGCTAGCAAGCTTGACACCCTCTTGATGAAAGACACTTGTGCAGTGATTTTGCGAAGTGAAGAAGCACGTTTACTGTGCAATTTAGAGACTTGCCAAAACCCTGACATGAAGCATTTTGTTTTCATGCCTTTCCAGTGCCGAACTTTGACTACTGGTCATGAAATCTACGTGGCTGTCCACCATGACGAACCTGACTTCGCTGGAAATTGCACTGCTGGCGTTGACGGAGACCATGTTTACAAGGTGATCGGTAAATTCAGGTTTATTTCAAACCGTCGCTTAGAGACAGAGAAACTCTTGGCAGCTGGTGCGTCTTCACCTTGTGGGCTACCAGCGGACCAGCAGCACTTCACCAACTTGAAGGCAGACTTGGGGATCAAGAAAGAAAACAAGACACACATTGTATGGGAGTTGCAGTGGGTGTGTACATATCAGACCCCTGTTTGCATTTCTTCGGCCACACCAGTGCTTGAGTCCAACGCTTCTGCACCGGCTTCGTATTCGTCAGTTCGCCCAAGGGTTCAGGACTGACTGCTGACTGCCCTTTCACACTGTTTGATCATGATGGCATTTCACCTAGTTACTAAACCTGTATAATTTCATATCGGCGTTTCCTGCAGTGCAGATCATTTTTTCAACTCTTTCAGACCCTTTCACTCATTGAACATGTTCATATCTTTATGGCGTTAGGGCTTTAGGGTTTTGAGTTATGTTGATTTGATTCTGATTCTGATGCTGGAGGGGTCTGAGTTGTTGTGACAGGGAATGAGGCCTCCCTTGAATGGGTTCTTTCCATCAAGACCGTTCAATCGAATCAACCGCTGGTTTGCCATGCATCTTTGCAATCAATTACCATTAGCATTGCTTGTCACTGTCACAGGACCAATTTGGCCCTCGATGGGTCTGGCTGAAACTCGATGGAGATTTGAAAACCTTGCTTTGTTCTCAAGCGGAGACGGTGGAGCTGGCAAAGCGATCAGGTCCATCCATTCCGCAGATTGTTGTTCACCCTCCTCCAATTCCTCCTGGTGATGATGCTGACAAACCGGCCACAACGGCCAAAAGTGAAGTAGCTGAGGATGCTGACATGCAGGAGGTTCCCCTCTCTCAGAAGAGCGAGACAAGTTTCACAGCCGCTTTGGAGGCGGAGATCAACAGTGAGTATCCAGATTTCGCAGAAGCGGCAGCGGCAGTTGAACAAAGTGAACCAGTTGAAACAGCTGAAGCACCGACAATTCCAGCAGCAATGGGGACATTAGCGCAGGCATCAGACCAACAGGCAGTTCCAGAGGTTCTGCAAACTATGTTGGACGAGACCCTGAAGGATCCAGACGCTGTTCCTCAGGAATCGATGCCATGCCCAAAAAAACAGAAGACTACAGTGGGGGAAGAGGGCCAGCATGCTGCTGATGCCAGCGTTCCTGATGCAGTGCCACAGGTTGGTTCTGCCTCTGAAGTTCTTCCACATCCAGAGCTACCAAGTACTTTGCCAGATTCCTTCAAAGTCAACCCTGGCCGGAATCGTCAGGTTGTGACGTCCATGGCTGAATCCTTTCTCTTCGAGGAAGATTGTTGTGACATTATCCTTGCTGAGGATGGGGAAGACAAGGTGGTTGACATACTTGAAGCTATGAGAAATGATTCGGTCAGCACCGCGTTCAGCGGCATAGAGGCCTGTGGAACTTCAATGAACATGATGCGAGCTGCATTTTGCAAGAGACTTGGAATTCCCTTTGAGCCCTTGGCAGTCACATTCCAGATAGAATGGAATCGTGAATGCGTTGCCGAGCTACTGCCCGAGTGCAAAGCCCACAACACATGCTTGTTCAACAACATCGCTTCCTTCTTTGTGGAGGATTTGAAGGAGACGATTGACTATTTGATCCAGCATCCCCAAATGGCAATTGAAGTACTCAGCCCCCTCTTGGCCGAGAAGAAGGCTATGAAGGGGACAGCGTGGTGTGTTGTCCATGAGAAAGAGTGCAAGGTTGTTCCATGTCGCCGGCACCTTGCTGGGACAAGTTGCCGTCCCTGGAGCAAAAAGGGGGCAGGGCTTGGAGCTCATGACCCCGAAGTGCTGTTCACACTGGCATGGGTGGGGCTGATGCTTCTTCTTGAAAACACTGAGATAACAAGCGAGAATGTACTCACACCTGGCTCTGGATCTTCATCATCAACCGCCGCTGTGACTTCTGACGAGCCTGCCGAGGTTATGGACTGTGGATTAGGCAGCCTTCTGCTCAGGCTACTTGGGCCCCTCTACCATATGGAGAAAGTGGTGCTCTCTCCATACATGGTTGGCGACCCGTTTAATCGGGAAAGGGAGTTCATCAAGATGGTCCACAAGAAGAAGGCAGCAGCAGTGATCAGCCCACTTTCACGATTCTGCAAGCGATTTTTCAGGATGTGTCAGTGGAGTTGGAAAAGTGGCTTGCAGGCATATGAGCCGTGAAATTGTTGATTTGGTTGGTCCTGGAACTGCCATTCTAACCACGCTTTCTTTGGTACTGCTTGCTTAGTTTCGGACTGTTTTACTTCACTGCTTCAATCAGATAATCAGATTTACATATATCACATATATATATATATATTTTTTTTCTGGAATTTCTGGATCTCTACATATTTAAATACTTGTGAGTTGTTGGGTTTATATATATATACCTATATAGATATGTGTATATATATATATATCATGCACATTTAATGACAGGTGTATATTGTTGATGTTTGCCACTGCTGTCACTGTAACAGAGGTGTAGTCATTATTGGTGATTGACGAATGATGAAAATAGCGATGATGATGATGATGATGATGATGATGGTGATGATGATGATGATGATGATTGTGATGATGATGGTGGTGGTGGTGTCCATGTGCACTGGTCATGGGTTACTGAACTGATGACTGATCACATCACTGCCTGTCTTTGAAACCCTCTTCAATTCGTCAATGAACTGGCCAAGGCATATTCTTCATGCACTTGCCAGAGATGAAGGGCAAAGGTGTTGTGGAGAACGAGCTGGAGATGGAGTACCAGTGGGCGTGCCAGAGACCAACCAGCCGAGCTAAAGAGCTTGGAGATGAATTGGCAGGTGATACAATGGACTTTGAAGCCGCCCTCAACACCATGGAATTCAACTTTCTCCAGGAATACCGCCGGGGATGGCCGGAAGCAGCATACCAGTTAAACCAAGATCCTGGCAGCGGCCATGGTCATCATTCCAAAAACGAGTTTGAGATGTTCACCCTGATCCACAACTTGGGTTTAGTGTGGAGTGATCACGTTGGCAGGTGGTTGTCCCCAACAGAGGCATTAGCTTGCCAACACTTCCCAGTGGTGCCCTATTTGCATTCACCTGACTTGAAGTTGACTTCCTTCCATTTTGACAGACAGGGCCGCTCAGGAAGGCACATTGGTCCTCAGGTGGGCAATTCGATGCACTGCGGCGTGATGGGCTTGCTGCAGCTGCACTCCTTGTCGGAAGTTCTTCATCCCAGAATTCCCGACTTGTTCAAGAACATTCGGCTGGTCAGGCCAGGCTGGATGGCTTTGTCGGTCACTGGATGGTGAGCTTGTAGCTTTGCAACAACAACTCTGGCCCGATTTCATTCCATTTATTTTCTTGAGTTGCGTGTTGTGGCCAGTTGTTGCACTTGTTTGTATTGTTGCGTGTTAGCAGGCTGGTAAATGAGTTTCTCTCTTCTCTTCTCCTCTCCTCACGTACATTGGTGGTTCCTATCTGGTTCGGATTGTTCATTCGGTCCAGTCGGTCCAGTGCAGTCAGTTCTCCCAACAATGTTCTAGTTGCCTTTAGCAACATACCTTGCGGTGGGTGGGAAGTCAATCACGGTCAGAGACACAACAAAACCAGAAAGGTTATTCACGTATTAGCTACTAGTAGTTAGTGATGCCTGATTTTTTTTGGGCGTGGCGACCGGCAACTACTGAGTCGGCGACTGAATGCGTTTTGGTATGTCATTATGTCATGTCTTGTCTTGGCCAGGTCTGCTATTCGAGAGGAGCACAAGCGCAAGCTCGAGCATCTTTCAGTTTCCAAAGCAGCCCCAACCAAGAGATTGCTCGGGAAATCAAATCCTGGGAGAGCATATGGGTTACCCCCAATCCCGTGATGGTTGTGATGACGTGATGCGCCCGTGATGTGCATTCAGTCAGTGAGCGTGGAACAGCCAGCGCACATCAACTCAAAGACAGCTCAGTGAATTCGCTTTGGACTTTCGACTTTTCAGCTTTGTAAATCAGCCGAAACGCCGGTACAGCGTGGCGCGTTGTGGAAAAATGGTTTCCGGTTGCCTTTGAACATTTACAATTACAAGTCAACATTGACACAGCACTCGCATTGGAGACACTGACGAAACACGGGTAAGTTTGAACATGACTTGAACACATTAAAACCCTGCGTTGTCTTGAAGTCGTGTCTTCAGTTTTGGAACTCGCACAGCCCGCCCTTTATCAATCCATTATATATTAAGTTATGGTCAGTGGTCAACCTCTTTCTTTCCATATTCCATGTGGCCAAATAATTTCAGCCAAATCAGTCACGAATTTGCCAGGCCAATCCACTCACAAGATCAACAAGGGGTTGGGCGGGTGGTTTAGCTGACAGTTGGATTCTGGGTCAGTCAAGAAAAAGATGCGAGAAACCGCAGCAGCGACTGGTGAATCTCACAGAAATGCTGAGAACTTACTGGGTGCTCATGTCGAAATCATAGTAGATGAGCTTGATACAAGCACAATGATTTCTATACAATGAGTATATCTATATCAACATGGTACCTGGTGGTATCTCCTATTATGTTCTATTTAATACCAAATATGTTTGTCTAATATGAATATGTACATAGGCTATACACAGATCCTTGGTGAATGTGCTTTCCTCTGTGCCTTCTGTTGGCTTCGCTACTTAGCTGGGATTGGATCTCACGAAGTAGTAGTTGTTGTTGTTGTTGCTGTTGCTGTTGGTGTTGTTGTTGTTGTTGCTGTTGTTGTTGTTGTAGCTGTTCTAGTTGTAGTTCTAGTTGTAGTTGTAGTTGTTGTGTAGTTGTTGTAGTTGTAGTTGTTGTTGTTGTTGTTGTGGTTGGTGTTGTTGTTGTTGTTGTTGTTGTTGTTGCTGTTGCTGTTGCTGTTGTCGTCGAAGTTAGGGTAGTTAAGTTAGTGAAGTTAGTTGAGTTAGTCAAGTTAGTTAAGTTAATCAGTGTCTACTTTTTCGACATCTTCACGTCAAAAAAGGCTCAAAACCCTCAGTTTTTTTACACTTTTGACTTCGAAATGTGCTTCGCGCCACAACGGCGTGCACTTTTTCGACACTTTTTCGACATCTCAACTTCCAAAAGTGGTCCGAGAATGGTGTGTTTTGTACATTTTGACTTCAAAATGTGCTTCGCGCCACAACGGCGTGCACTTCTTCGACATCGCAACTTCCAAAAGTGGTCCGCTCCTCTAGCGTTTTGTCCATTTTGACTTGGAAATGTGCTTCGCGCCACAACGGCGTGCAACTTTTCATCTCTCATCTGGCCAGCTGGCTCCGCACCCGCCGCTTTAGCGAGCCTACTTTTCGACCCTCCGGAGCCACAAATCATTGGAAAAACACAGTGTTTCGCGACTTTCCTACCTTTTCACGCACCTGCATCTTCTTTCTTCTGATCTTTTCTCTTCTGACTCTTCTCACCTCTGCTTTTCAACTGTCCATATTGTCGGAAGTTTCACTTCTAAACTTCCTTCGACAAGAATTCCTTTTTTTCTTCGCATTATGCAGTAGCCGGTCAGATCAGTAATGTTTGAATTAAAAGTCATGGAGCCTGCTGCATTTAAATTTGACTATATTGCAACACAAGCTGGGCAAAGCAGCGCTGGCATGCCAGAAAATGGTTGCCGGACCAGGAGGAGGGAGGAGAAGCAGAATCCTTTTCAAAGAAGCTCATGAAAGTGACCAGTGTTGCGTGGCAGCCCCACGCAACACTACACGCTACACTACACGCAACGCTACACGCTACACTACACGCAACACTACCGAACTGCTGGCAGGGGCAGCATTTTGATGCTTTTAAGGAATGAAATGAAAATACAAGACGATTTTTCTGTCCTGACCCGAAATGCTGCCCCTGGCAGCATTTCGGCAGTGCTGCGTGTAGTGTAGCGTGTAGTGTTGCGTGTAGTGTAGCGTGGGTGTTGCGGGTGGTTTGCAGTGTTGCGTGCGGCAGCTGCCATGTAGCTTATTTTGCCTCGTGCTCAGCTGTGTGCAGGTGAAGGGTGAAGCACACTGGGGGAACTATGAGAAGAACCGACGATGGAATTGATCCCGGATGAAATTTGCAAGACCAAATATACAAGAAATTCTTTTTTCTTCTTACTGAAATTTTATGTCCCTGGGTGAAGAACTGCAAAGAAGCAGTGGGCAGAAGCTGAAGGATGTTTTGGGCATTATGCAGTAGCCGGTCAGATCAGTAATGTTTGAATTAAAAGTCATGGAGCCTGCTGCATTCAAATTTGACTATATTGCAACACAAGCTGGGCAAAGCAGCGCTGGCATGCCAGAAAATGGTTGCCGGACCAGGAGGAGGGAGGAAGCAGAATCCTTTTCAAAGAAGCTCATGAAAGTGACCGCCCCACGCAACACTACACGCTACACTACACGCTACACTACACGCAACACTACCGAACTGCTGGCAGGGGCAGCATTTTGGAGCTTTGATGCTTTTAAGGAATGAAATGAAAATACAAGACGATTTTTCTGTCCTGACCCGAAATGCTGCCCCTGGCAGCATTTCGGCAGTGTTGCGTGTAGTGTAGCATGTAGTGTTGCGTGTACTGTAGCGTGGGTGGTGCGGGTGGTTTTCAGTGTTGCGTGCGGCGGCTGCCATGTAGCTTATTTTGCCTCGTGCTCAGCTGTGTGCAGGTGAAGGGTGAAGCACACTGGGGGAACTATGAGAAGAACCGACGATGGAATTGATCTCCTGGAAGTAGCTGACGGCGGGAAGAAATTTGCAAGACCAAATATACAAGAATTCCTTTTTTTCTTGCAAAGAAGCAGTGGGCAGAAGCTGAAGGATGTTTTGGGCATTATGCAGTAGCCGGTCAGATCAGTAATGTTTGAATTAAAAGTCATGGAGCCTGCTGCATTTAAATTTGACTATATTGCAACACAAGCTGGGCAAAGCAGCGCTGGCATGCCAGAAAATGGTTGCCGGACCAGGAGGAGGGAGGAAGCAGAATCCTTTTCAAAGAAGCTCATGAAAGTGACCGGTGTTGCGTGGCAGCCCCACGCAACACTACATGCTACACTACACGCAACACTACCGAACTGCTGGCAGGGGCAGCATTTTGGAGCTTTGATGCTTTTAAGGAACGAAATGAAAATACAAGACGATTTTTCTGTCCTGACCCGAAAAATGCTGCCCCTGGCAGCATTTCGGCAGTGTTGCGTGTAGTGTAGCATGTAGTGTTGCGTGTAGTGTAGCGTGGGTGTTGCGGGTGGTTTGCAGTGTTGCGTGCGGCGGCTGCCATGTAGCTTATTTTGCCTCGTGCTCAGCTGTGTGCAGGTGAAGGGTGAAGCACACTGGGGGAACTATGAGAAGAACCGACGATGGAATTGATCCCCTGGAAGTAGCTGACGGCGGGAAGAAATTTGCAAGATCAAATATACAAGAATTCCTTTTTTTTCTTCGGTGGGTGGAAGAAATCCTGCACCACCTCTATAAGCTTACATTTGCCAATGCATAACTTGTACCCCCGCACCCCCAAGCTCAATGTTGAAAGACATGTTAAGAGGTGGTGCAGGATTTCCGTCACTCGCACAAATCCATTTTGATCACTGTGTCGTCAAACAATAATAAATTAGGAGCGCGAGGTTTCAAGTGTAGGCCTTTGAAAGTGGTGCAGGATTTCTTCCATCAACAGTAGCCGTCGTTTTTTGGTTTACAACACCAATCATGATTAATCTTTGCCATAAAACTGACCGTTTGCTCAAGCAGTATATAACGTTTGCCACTAGGAACGTGTATCGAACTGGGGGGCCTTCCTGCAAGTCATTGGCATGTTTCACTTCCAGGCGTTGCCGCTTATATCAAATCCTCAATGTGACTTACAGGTTGGATCCTGGGGTGTTTTTGGGAACTGCTGGTTCAATCACTAGCTTAGTTTCAGCTCAGTTTTCCTTTTTGCCATTATCAACTGTGTGTTGTGGCCTTTGGGACCCAAAATTTTGTTGGTTGCACAATTGAACCACTGCCATGAGTTGATTTGTCATGGGATTCCTTCCTCCGCCTACCCTTTCCTTCCATTTTTATCCATTTTTGGCTCACGCAGGCTTAGGGCACAACTTCCTGACCTGTTTTTCATACATGGCAACTCTCCTGAGCCTCGGCTTCTCCTTTGTCCTCATTAGCTCAGCGAATGCCTTCCAGCTGCTGGACGTAGGAGCTCCACGCACTGGCACCCAGTCGATGTATGCCGCCTTTAAGATGCTGGGGTTGAAGCCACGCCACAGCGGATACGACCTCACGGCACGTGATGCTTTGAGTTGCTGAAATCGGTGCTGATTTTTGATTTCTCACTGGGATTAAAATCCACCATAGATATAAAAGGGAGAATCGATGAATATTTGGGGACCATCTTAAGCAAATCCCAGGAACCACTATGTGGATATCTTTTTGGCAATGCTTCTGGCAATCGCTCACTGGATGATGCGCTTGCCACCCTGAGTGGATTTGATGCAGCCATGGATGAACCATACATGCTCCTTTACGAGGAAATCATGGCAGCCTTTCCTGAGGCCAAATTTCTGCTGACGATTTCCGATGCTGAAAGCTGGTTCAACAACTACGTGGACCTCGTGCATGGCTACCAGCGTGCGCATAAATCACTTACTGACGGCAGGCCCTTTTATCATCTAAATTGTACTGGCATGAGGTCATGGGGGTGCCATTTCGTATACCATGCCCAGAATCAAACAGAGGCGGACTATGCATCCAGAAAGGAGACGTGCCTGCAAAACTATGAGAGACACATTGAGCGTGTGCAGCAAGTCATTCCGCCCCAGAAGTTGTTGGTCTACAACTGGTCCGATGGTTGGGCCCCTTTGACGCATTTCTTGCATCTTCCAGTGCCAGAAGAAGAGTTTCCAAAAGTGGATGAGGTGAAAATACATCTTGACGTCAGAGGCAAAATCATGGATGCGCTGGGAATGAACGGATGAGAGAAAAAGAATCAATCAGCTGCTGGTTCGAGCGATTTTGACCCATGAAAGCTCGCGTAAATCGGAGATAAGGGGAGGCTTTCATTTGAACCATGGGGCATATCCTACTGTCATAGTTTTTTCATGCTATTGTTGTGCTTGAGGGCTAGCCCCCCCTTCATGTGGAGCCTCATAACGGCCCAATGTTTGCCAATGTTGGGACGCGCGCACGATCTATTTAGGTGCATTGTGCGATAGTGGTGGCCAGGGTCAATTAGCGACAACAGGGGGTTCACTGAAAACATCCGAAAGCATCGGACATCTGATTGGTGGTTTGGAACATTTTCCATTTTTCCATATATTGGGAATAATCATCCCAACTGACATTGTCATGACCACAAAACTGAAAAGTTGCCTTTGCTCCATGTCCATTAAAAGAAATGTAAAACAACCGACATTTTCTGGTATTAAGAACATTTCAAAAACAAACAAAAAACTTGAAGCAAAAACATATTGTCATTTTGCTATTATGAGTTCGAACAAGATTGTTATTATTCCCCACCTGCCACGTGAGGGTTGTTAGATTTTATCAGAGCGCTCTTCCTCCGCGTCCTCCTCCTCCTCCTCGTCATCCTCCTCCTCCTCATCCTCCTCCTCCTCCTCGACTAGCTGTCCTCTTCCTCCTCGTCCTCCTCCTCGCCTCCTCCAGTTTCTCCTCGACCATGTCTGCATCAACTTCCACCTCAACTTCCGCCTTGCCAACTCTTCGCCAAGCTACTTTGCCAAATCCTCTTCGCCGACTCTTCTGCGCCAAGATCTTTGCAACTTCCCAGCTCATGTGACCGCTGGACATCAACCGGGGACATGCCCCCAGCTCAGGGGGTCTGCCCAGCTCAGTGTGCACGATGGACCTCAACCTAGGACACCTGCCCAGCTTTCAGTGTGCGCAACGCTGGACCTCAATGGGGCCTGCAACAGTCCTTGTTGCACCGCTGGACCTCAAACCTGGGACCTGCCCAGCTCAGTGTGCAACCGTGGACCTTCAACGGCCAGATGAAAGCCAGAAGAGATGCCAGAAGATATGCCAGATAGAATGCCAAATAGAATGCCAGATAGAATGCCAGAAGATATGTCAGAATATATGCCAGAAGATATGCCAGAAGATATGCCAGATAGAATGCCAGATAATATGCCAGAAGATATGCCAGATAGAATGCCAGATAGAATGCCAGAAGATTTGCCAGATAGAATGCCAGAAAATATGCCAGAAGATATGCCAGATAGAAATGTCAGAAGATATGCCAGAAGATATGCCAGAAGATATGCCAGAAGATATGTCAGAATATATGCCAGAAGATATGTCAGATAGAATGCCAGAAGATATGTCAGAATATATGCCAGAAGATATGCCAGATAGAATGCCAGATAATATGCCAGAAGATATGCCAGATAGAATGACAGATAGAATGCCAGAAGATTTGCCAGATAGAATGCCAGAAAATATGCCAGAAGATATGCCAGAAGATATGCCAGAAGATATGCCAGAAGATATGCCAGATAGAATGTCAGAATAAATGCCAGAAGATATGTCAGATAGAATGCCAGAAGATATGTCAGAATATATGCCAGAAGATATGCCAGATAGAATGCCAGATTGAATGCCAGAAGATATGGCAGATAGAGTGCCAGAAGATATGCCAGATAGAATGCCAGAAGATTTGCCAGATAGAATGCCAGAAGATATGCCAGAACATATGCCAGAAGATATGCCAGAAGATATGTCAGATAGAATGCCAGAAGATTTGCGAGTAACAAAATGTATAAATGTTATGATGGGGATCACACGAAGTAAAGCAATTTAATATTATTTTGCTAGTTTCCCATAGTTTCCCCTTTTCAATGGTTAAACTCACCCCATTTTTTCATCGTGAAAGCCTGCTGAACGCCCGAGGGCTGTCAGCCACGGTGGTGGTTGGCGCCACGGCGGCCGACATTTCAATCACTTCACAGATGAACAGCTGGGGGGCCTGGGGGGCCTGGGGGGCCCTGTTTGTCACAAGGGGTGTATAGGATTATATAGATATATATGGTTATGTTTTGCTTTATGCCTAGATATATATATATATATTATTATTATTGATATTATTTATTTATATATATATATTATCATATTATATATACTCTGTAAAATATAAGGCACACATGCATATGCATATATATATATATCTATATCTGTGTTTGCGTATGCATTTGCATTTTTCAAGATATATTTTTTGTATAGATATGGTTACATTGCATTGGGCAAGGCTCTTCTAAATCAATCCTGGATGGGTCGTTTACTACTTCAATCTTTTTACCATGGATAAAAATAGATACATAACCTGCCCCGCTTATCCAAGATGGTTGGCGGGATGAAGCCAGACCAGGTAATATGTTTGCCAGATCTTAGTCGGGTGGGCTGTTTGAGCAGAACACCGGCCAAAACGTGATGGAAATATATAACAACGTTGCATTCCAAAATAGTTTTTTTCAGAAAAATAGATTTCATTAAATGTTTCAGTAGGAACCACTAAAACCGGTACGAGCAGCCTTTGTCGTCCACTTCTACGGGGTAATTGATAGAGGTGTAACGATGGGAGTTCTCGCTTTCATGGATGAGACGGTTCCCTGCACACATGGGTTTAAATGACTCTGGGGCAATGGTTGAGAAACTGACAGTCGATGTGACCAAGAGCTGGTCGAAAATATCACACTTGATTTTTTGGGGTATGCATACCCATGTTCAGGTTGATCCT